TGAAAATGGCCACACAGGTGGAAAAGGTAGTCAACAAAGCATAAGGCATGCTTGCCTTCATCAGCCAGGGCATTGAGTTTAAAAATTGGCAGGTAATGTTGCAGCATTATGGAACCTTAGTTAGGCCGCATTTGGAATATTGTGTTCAATTCTGGTCGCCACACTACCAGAAGGATGTGAGATAGTAGGAAGTGCAGATGCTGGAGAATCCGAGACAACAAGGTGCAGGGCTGGATGAACACAGCAGGCCAAGCAGCATCATAGGAGCAGAGAGGCTGACGTTTCGGGCCTAGACCCTTCATCAGAAAAGGGGGAGGGGAAGGGGGTTTTGAAATAAATAGGGAGAGAGTGGGAGGCGGACAGAAGAGGGATAGAGGAGAGGATAGGTGGAGAGGCATCTGCAGTTCCTACTATCTCTGATTCAATTTTAACCCCACTGCGAAGCCTGTTCTAAGGATGCTTAACCTGAAGAAGTTACCCTCCTCCCTCCGGACAAACCTCAAGGGATCTCTCTCCCACTGCAACTCTCTCGTAATCTCTTCGGCCTCTCCACCTATCCTCTCCTCTATCCCTCTTCTATCCGCCTCCCACTCTCTCCCTATTTATTTCAGAACCCCCTTCCCCTCCCCCTTTTCTGATGAAGGGTCTAGGCCCGAAACGTCAGCCTCTCTGCTCCTATGATGCTGCTTGGCCTGCTGTGTTCATCCAGCCCTGCACCTTGTTGTACCAGAAGGATGTGGTGGCTTTGGAGAGGGTACAGAAAAGATTTACCAGGATTTCCCTGGTATGGAGAGCATTAGCTATGAAGAGAGCTTGGAGAGACTTGGGTTGTTCTCACTGGACGGACAGAGGTTGAGGGGGAGACCGGAAAGAGGTCTGCAAGATTATGAAGGGCATGGACAGACTGGACAGTCAGAAGCTTTTTCCCAGAGTGGAACAGTCAGTTACCAGGGGCCATGGGTTTAAGGTGTGAGGAGCAAGGTTTAAAGGTGATGTACAAGGCAAGTTTTTTACACAGAGGGTTGTAGGTGCCTGGAACTCGCTGCTGGGGGAGGTAGTGGAAGCAGATACGATAGTGACTTTTAAAGGGCGCCTTGACAAATATATGAATAGGATGGGAGTAGAGGGATACGGTCCCCGGAAGGGTAGGGGGTTTTAGTCGTGATGGGTAGCATGTCGGTGCAGCCTTGGAGGGCCAAAGGGCCTGTTCCTGTGCTGTAATTTTCTTTGTTCTTTGTTCTTGGTGAGCGCATGGACCAAGAGGAGATAGGAGGAGATATCTGAGGGCTTGGGTTGAGTCTCTGCAATGTAGAGATCAGTACGCCAGACTACAACAGCACCACCCTTATCAGCAGGCTTAATAACAAATTCAGGGTTGGATCTGAGCACATGGAAGTGCAGTTCGTTCGGGGGCGGGGGGTAGCAATAGTTTGGAATGGGTGACTGGGGCAGAGAAATTGAGAAGACCAATGTCACTTTCTGGACTCAATATCTCGTTCAATAACTTTAGGGTTTGAACTCTCCCATGTTCTAGTCCTCACCCCGATACACCAGGCCTTGTTATTGCATAGTCTGCTATGTTAGTCTGCTATTATCAGCTATTCATCCTCCTAGTCAGATCATTATCCACTCTTTTGTCTGTCCAACTGTTCTGTCTAACCCCACATATTGTTTACTCCTTACCCCTTAACCCCACCCTATCTTCTGCATAAAAGCCAACACTTCCTAGCTTCCATTAGTCCTGGAGAAGGGTCACTGGCCCCAAAATGTTAACTCTGATTTCTTTTCACAGATGCTACCAGGCCTTCTGAGCTTTTCCAGCAATTTCTGTTTTTGTTTCTTGAAAGACTGCCCATTGACAAAGCCCAGTCATGCCTTTAACATATTTTTCCAATCCACCTCAACCAATTTATGCCTCATGCCTTCATACTTTCCTCATTCAAATTTAACACCCTTACTTCAGAATGAATTTCCTCACTTTTAAACAAAATATGAAAGTCTATACTATGTCGTCTTTCATTCCTAAAAGTACTTTTACTAGACTGTTAGTTAGTTCTTTGTCATTACATAATATTAGATCTAAAGTAACATGTCTTCTAATTAGCTTCTCAACATACTGCTTTAGAAAACCATGCCTAACACAGTGCAGGAACTTGTCCTCCACAGCTTTAGTGTTCAGTTAGTTTGCGCTGTCTATGTGCTTCCTAATGTAGTCATCTACTCCCTTATTATTAACAATACTCCATCTACCTTTCCATCCTGTCTGTCCTTCCTAAACATTGAATATTCTTGTATATTCAGTTCCCGGTTCTAGTCACCATGCGGCACTGGAGGGGGTGCAAAGGAGGTTCACTAGGTTGATTCCGGAGTTGAGGGGGTTGGCTTATGAGGAGAGACTGAGTAGATTGGGATTATATTCATTGGAATTCAGAAGATTGAGGGGGGATCTTATAGAAACATATAAAATTATGAAGGGAATAGATAAGATAGAAATAGAGAGGATGTTTCCACTGGCAGGTGAAGCTAGGACAAGAGGGCATAGCCTCAAGATTAGAGGGAGC